AGCATTTCCTTTTAAAGAAACTTCCACCCATCCTGGATTCCTTTTCTTGCTAAGATCTCTTTACTTATAAATGTTTTGAATTTATTAATATTGGCTTTCCTAAAATCCAACATACACAAGCAGCTCCATTCTGCTTTTGTTTCTTTTGAATTAATACACTCAAATAGAACATGGTCAATTTACCCCACAGTTTCCCTGATGCTTCTTCTACTGAGTCATCTTTATTGATTAGAATAAAGTCAAAGATAACCGATCTCACTCTTTGAAATTCTTGCAATTTGTTTTTCAAAGGTTTCATTCACATTTTCTCCTTGATTGAATGGTTGGTAGTGGATTCTAAGTACCACATTCCTTATACTTTTCACCCCAGTTATATTAATCCAAATGCTCTCAATAGGACAACTAACCTCATCCTCCTGTATTTCTGTGCAAGAATATGTATTTTTGACATATACTGTAACTCCATCTCTCTTTCTAGTCTTCCTTTTCTTTTTGAATAATTTATATCCTTCAATTACTTGAACATAAGATTTTTAGTTTTTGTTTCTTTCCCAGACTCCAGGAGATAGTGTGTTTTGTGGGCTGCTTTCCTTCATACATTTTTTTGAAGATTATTATTAGACCCAATCAAACACCCTCAATTTGTTCCTCTTATTGTGCATAAGCGTTCATCCATCTTTACCTTTAACCTTGCATCTCCTTTCCCTTTTCATTTCAGTTTGAAGCCCTTCTGCTGAAATTCTTCATCCTGTGGCCAAACACACTCTTCCCAGTCCTTGTGAGATGCAACCCACCCCTTGCCAACAGCCCATCTTCCAGGAAGTGTAGCCCAAGACCCCAAAATCCAAATCCCTCATGTTGGCACCACCTTTGTAGCCAGTCATTCACCTGGAGTATTTTCCCTTTCTTTTGTATTCCTCTTCTGAATTCTGGTACGAGATGGATGAGAGGGCTGTCTAGGCCCCAAAGTCCTTGAGTCTTCTTCCCAGAGCTTCAAAGTCTTATGTGATTTCTTCATAGTCCTTCTTGGCTGTATCATTTGTTCCCTTGTGGATGAGAGAAAGTGTATTCGTCTGTGGGTTTTATGAGCAATCACAATCCGTCACATCCCTAATCCATTCTGCAGGGAGATAGCATAACTTGTATGGATTTGCCCAGCATAGTATTTCAGTTTCAGTCCCACACCGAAGGGGAGTTTCCTACTACAACTACTCTTCTCTTTTTCTTTTCTCTAGGCTGTGGGTTCAGTGGTTCTGCTTGGCTGAGTCTCAGCCTCTCTCATGTCCTCCTGTGGGGTATCCTGTATACTGTCTTCCAGACTCCTCTTCAAAAATCTGAAAGTGGTTTTGCAGTTCCTCTGGTGAAGAGTGTCTTCTCTATTTTTTGTCCCTATCTATGACTCATTTCCATGGTGCTCCACTGTCTTTGTTCTCCTCTCAGTATTGTCATTTTCTGTGTTGCCTTTCTGTTCTTCCACCTCCAGTTCCTCCTTTGGCTGCTGCAGCTTGAGAGATCTATCTATGTACTGATCCTCATCTTCTCTTTTAGGCTTGAGTGTGGCTACTCAGTGCTCCAGTTCTCTCCCTTTTTTCTTTCTACAGTGTCACCAGTCATAACTGATAATGTATTATGGGACAATTATATTTTTCTGTACATATATTTTGGTACTAGCCTGGATTCTCATATGCAACGGTGTTCCTGGTTTAATCTTCTTATTATAAAGCGTAATGTATCGGCTGAACTCCTTTTGAGCAGCTTTGCATGCACAACTGGGATGACAGTAGCAGCGGCAAACTGCCACTGAATAGTCTATCTTTTGTGATCTGCGGTGCGCATTATACTGTATATGGTCAGCATGTCCCCTGAAATCTCCTTTCATTAACAGCAGTTCACTGCTGCTACTGATGTCATCCCCACTGTGCATGTGGAGCTGTGCAACAGGACTTTAGCCATGATGTTTTATTAGAAACTTTAGGATTGGCAAAGTTATATTTTTGGCTTCCAATTCACAGAATCCTTCTGCCACCATAGCAATTACCTTTGCTGACCTGGAGATTCTAGGAGCTGTAGTCCAAATGGGGTATTTTGCCTATCCCTGACACAGATATTCTTCCTTTTCACAGGAAGTCTTTCGGGTGGGGGAGAGACCAATCCAAATCTGTTGTTGTTCTGTGCTGTTGAGTTGAAATCAGTTTATAGTGACCCTAATAGGGCTTTCAAGGTAAGTGAGGTATTTAAGGAGTGGTTTTACCAGTTCCACTCCCCCAGTGAGTTTCCATGGCTAAGTGTGGATTCAAACCCATACCTCCTGAGTCCTTTCCATCACTCTATCCACTATACCACACAGGGTATCTGATCAAAATCATAGTGTGGCATAAGCATGGAAATAAGTGAATTACAGCATGGTGCTTGCAGCAAACAAGTGATGGCAGCAAAACCTGCATTATAATTATCAGTATTTATCTTTCATTATGAAAGGAGGTTGCTGACCTAGAAGAACATTGGCCTGTAGACTCGCTAGGATGGTGGGAGCTGTAATTGAATGCTTCTGGAAGGGACCAGTTGGGGAAGCTGCTGTAGACATGCACACTGCATTTTTCTTGTATGTTCTTTCCACTGGATTTGGCTAGCCAGCAGAACTATTCGTGGTTTCTTCCCCATTATTCAGTTTCACATCAGTTTTAACTTTAATTTCACTCGAGTGTTCAGATCTTATCAATCTGGAAGGGGAATTAGGATATATACTTCAACTCCACCCTATTCACACATGTCCTTCTCTTCTTGGTGGGGAAGATCCATAATGGAGACGTAAGAAAGGCTGGTTGACTGCAATAGCAAAGCTCCAGGCGATAGGAAATCATGAATGGCAGGGTTCCTGATTGCTGTTGTATTTATTGTTTAGAATTTTCCAGGCAACACAGGCAGGATTCAGATAAAGAAGCTGAGGGTGGAGCATCAATCCCTGCTCCCTGCCATGATTAGATGTCTTGATGGAGATGCTGCCTTCCACAAATTAATTCCTACTGATTGGTTACACTCCTGCTATAGATTACCTTCCCTATTTTGGTAGAAATATTAGAAGTGGAAATAGCCTTTCTTCTTACTATAACATTGAGCAGAAACCTGCTTGCACATTTCCCCTCATATCTACATAACTACTGGAGCTAAATATTTATTTTGAAAAATGAAAGCTAAAATCCAGGCTATCTCTTGTCTTAAACAGGTGCTGGCTAGTATACATCTCAGCAAAACTTGGTTAGTTGAACATTTTGGCAACTCTGAGTGAGGGGCTTAGGTGTGTAGACCCATAACGTTAGGACAAGATCAACATTTTGGCAACTCTGAGTGAGGGGCTTGGGATATCTTTGGGTGCGTAGACCCATAACGTTAGGACAAGATTTGTGGTAAAAGTGGCATTGTTAAAATCTTGAGGCTATATTCCGTGAAACTACTCATCTCTTCAGAGGTTGGAAAAGGGATCCATGGTACAGTAGAAGGCCATGACTTTTGCATTGTTTTTTTCTGATTTTAGCAGTTATGACAAAAATACCTTCACTTTAGCAGAATTATCTTTAGCAAGACTATAATGCATTTCTAAACTTCTGAAAGCCGCTAGGTTTCTTGAGTAGCTGTACTGCTGTGAAATAATTGTAGGCTGATGTATATGTTACCTGAGGATGTGGTAAGCAAAGGTTGATTTAAATTCACAGAATAAGGTGCTTTTCATTTTCTGAATGTTGTCCATCAGTTTAAAATTAACTCAATTATTTATCAGTTATCCATTTGCTAATGAATCCTGACAATCTAAATCGACCCTCTGTCAGGAGCTCAACCACCAGCTATGTTGCTATAATGGCAATTACCGTAAAAGGATGCAGTCACTGTACTCTTTATAAATGTAAAGCAAACGCTTTCTGATTTTTAAAAAATACTTTCAATTCCAGGCTGCCATTAGTTTAATTACATTTAATTACTTTGACAATAAAAGAGCCACTGTCTTAATTCCCCAGCCTGGTTCTTGGAATTCTATTCCTAAGAGAAAGGGATAGGCTGCTGATTAACAGCTGAATAGGTTTGTGGGACAAAAGAGTCTGTGATAATGGATGTGGTACTACGTATAAGTGTGTATGGATGGCAAAAATGGGCACTGTTATTCATTATTATAGTTTCTTTTGTCCTGTTACATTATTTTCAACAAAGGAAATGTTCTCTCTTGTTCTCCAATGCAATGTGCATCTTCTATAGAAAGTTAGTTGTTAGTAATGTAGTTTGGGAACTCTGCACATAGTTTTGGATTACTTTGTTCATTGTGTTTGATTGCTGATGTACTTTTCATCAAATGCCCATCAGTCTCAATAATGAAAACAGCTAGGGCTATTTAATCAGTGTAATCAGTAGTTAATTCATGGGAATTCTAGTATATTAATTAAAATTTCCATTAATTGATTGAAGTAAATTTTAACTATAAAGTTAAGGGTAGAAATAACCCCTTGCCAGATTTTGGAAGTAACTAAATATGGCAATAAAGTCTTGCAGAGCTTCAACCTGTTTGTGGATTTCACAGGAAAATATCCCAATATGGATTTTGAAACCAATCAATTCTCAGCATTTCATTTGTACACTATGGTTTCTGGGTCTGTTTGCAGGGAATGGCAAATGCGTCCACCCAGCATTTGCCAGGGGACTCCCAACACTGTATTTTTTCCTACAAGAAGTATTTTTAAATACTTTAATATTTTTTAATTGTGTAAGAGCTAAAATTGAGAATGTAGTTTTATAAAACCATTTAACATGACACTATGTCAGTTTCTCCTTTTTCTTTTCTTTTCCATCAACTTTCTTGCATCTGGCTTATTTAACAGCATTTCCTAATATTAGTCTTAGTTTTTTTCACTAACGTTATTGTTTGTTAAATACTAAATGTACTGTCTATTCTCTGTTGTAATTTCTGGACTGAAAACATGGCAGACTTTTCTTAAGAATTTCTCTTCTTATTTCAGGAATCTTGCGTTATCTTTCTTGCTGAACATTAAAACAATATAAGTCTCTTGCTGAAACAACTCACTTGTCTAAAGGGCATCATTGAAAAGTAAGTGGATATAATTATTTCACTTAAATTTTTTTAAACAATGGGTGTTTATATAATGGACTACGTTACTATTGTGGCTTTCCTCACTAGCACAACAAAATGTATAGTTTCGCAGAAGCAGAACACTTAACATTTGATCTTTGAGTAAACCACTTTTTGTCATTTCATGAAAGATTGATGTATGTGTTTTAATAAACACAGTCATAAACTTTATCTAAGATTCATATGGTTATTGAAGCAACTTGCTAAAATAGTTGTGTTCTGGGAACTTCATAAAGCATTCACTTTTAAAACTATGTACATAAGACTCCTAGGCCATAAGCAGATAACTAGAAACAAACAATGTATAGTTTGGGGCCAAGCTGTTCATAGCTAGATTTGGGATTGGCTTTACCTAAATAGTAGCATGATTTCATATTAGACATGCCAATAACAAAAGCAGGAGATGAAAAAAGATTTAAGTTTGCTACTCTCTTCTACTCTATTTGTAACAAAAGCAAATGTACTGTATAAATATGGATAGTATCCAAAAGTGTGCATGGGCATGATACCTTTACTATATCACTAAAACAAAACAAAACAAAACAAATCACGAAAACAACTAGCTTTCAGCCCATATGGGTCTTCCTTAAGCTCAATACCAAGAATTCCTCTGTATGATGCAGGAAAAAAGAAAGTTCTAAAAACTGTGACCATATATGCAGCCCAGGCTTCTCTGCTTGTATCATGTTCCAAAATGGGGCTCCAGTCGTAGTGTTGATTGTGTGAATTGGAATGTCCCTCTTAGTCCTTTCAGCCATTCAACATGTTTTCCACCAGCCCCTTTAGTGGTCTAACAAAGGTATCACACACTCACACATACCCCTCCAGCCTTTTGATTGTACACAGGGACCACAAAGTGTGTTTATAGTAGTATAAATCTATAGTTTGAATCATTGAATTCAAAGGGACCTCAGAGTTTACCCAATTTACATTTTACACCTGTAGGAGTTTTGAATGGCAAAGTTCTAGGCAGGTTCTGTATAATTTTCTGTTGCACAGCTTTTTTATGTTCAAAAAAGAAGTGAAGGCCATCTTGGAGGCTACAGTTCTGCTGGTTCTATATGAGTATGGCCACAATTTAAGGAGCATAGGAACAAACTGATGAATATTCAGAGCAGAAAGCAAGCAAGTATAATAACAAAGAGGTTGAAATCAGTGGACCCCTTGGAAAGGCTGCAAAAGCAGGATGTTTTTAGGCTGCTGTAGAGAAGAAGAAGATCAAATTTGCCAAAAGCAGATTTTGGGGTGGGACTATAAAAAGCAAAACCACTGTTTTTTAACTGATGCTTCATCACAACACAAAATACAGTTTAAAAATGGTGTGGTTTGTTTTCCTTTTAGTTTTAATGAATGAGACCTATCCTTGGAAAACATGATACATTTTAAATATAAATACAAATACCAATAAATTTATTGTCATTGTAAGCCTATACATAATATACACATACAACGATATTCACACAGATATCCAGAGACCAACTCACATGCACACACACAAAAAATCCCCACACACTCCCCACCCACTAAAAATCCCCCGCTAAAAATACAAACATCTACACTGCAGGCTAATTAACACTGTCCAACTATTCATTACTGGTGGTCTTTAAGTTCATTATTAAGTGCAATTATAGCTCTGGGATAAAAACTATTCAGAAAATGTGTGGTCCAAGTCTTAATTGTTCTGTATCTTCTGCCAGATGGTAACACTTCAAAAAAGTTGTAAGCAGAATGGCAAAAGTCTCTAAGGATGTTGTGTGACTTCCTCAGACAGCGGGATGTGCAGATGTCATCCAGGGTTGATAGCTGGAGCCTGATGATATTCTGGGCAATTTTAATGGTTCTCTGAAGAGCTGTTTTGTCCGCTACGGAGCTACTCGCAAACCATACAGGAATGCCATAGGTTAGGACACTCTCAATGGTGCTACGATAGTAGGACAGAAGTAAATGCTGAGATAAATTTAATTTCCCGAGCATTCTCAGGAAATACAGCCTCTTCTGTGCCTTATTCACTAGCATGTTGGCATTTATAGTCCATGAGAGGTCCACTGAGATGTAAGTGCCCATAACATAAGCAAGTATTTGATGCCCTGCTTCTTGTGTAAATATTATAGGTCTGGAAGGAAAGGAATACTTGAAGCTAATAATTGCATTTCTTGGCTGTAATAGAATGTATTCCTAGTTCTCCTTTTTTCCTTATCCCAATTGTCCACTGGTGGCTATAAGAAGGGAGGATGACAGGGTGGTTTTCTTTTTTTTTCTTTTTTTCTTTCTTTTTTTTTGCAATTTGGGTTCAGTACAGAAGCCTATATCCTGTTGCAGTGCAAAGTGGAGCTCTACTAAAGGTTTACTAATTAGGTGAAATTTCCTTTCCCTACTTTTCTGCTCTGAGGGGCCGGCTCTGCCATTTCACAGAGAGAGGTGACCATCTCT